CTTAGACATGCCTCACATCTTTAAAAGCTCAAACAGATAAGGCTACGCTGAGCGGCAATGGGGCTACAGGACCTAAGAAGTCCTTTTTGGGATTTATAAGCAGGTAATTTATAAACAGGCTCAAACACTAGCTCTAAATCTTGCTACTTCTGTAACCTCACACATATACTGCATTTTCAACTAAGCTTCAATTTCTTCAGTTATAATGAGTGGAGAATCCTTTCTCTGCCAAGGGCCATTTGGATACTTGTAACATTATTCGTGGGCCATACAAAATTATCAATGTAGGAACCACTGACAAGAAGCATACAGGTCTGTTCTGTCATGTGCCAATCGATTTCTCAGGCCTCAGAAGACCCTGGGGCCAGACGTTTGCCACCCCTGATATGAAAAAATCATTCCTAATCACAGGGCTGTGGCAAGAATTAATGAAAATTATTCATGTAAACTGCACAGGGCTCAGAACCTAAAAGCAATGAACATTAACTCTGTGATTACTATGATAGCTGTGCTGATTGTCTTACAGTCCTTCAACCTGAGTCCTTCCACAGCCTACAAGGGAAACTCCTGTCTCCACTGCAGATGGGTAAATGTGATTATACTTCAGACTGTAAATCTTAAAAGTGGCAGAGCTGAAATTGAAGTTACATCGGCCCCCATCTGTCCTGCTCCACCACGGAGCAGGAAAGGGTCTATCTCTAAGGTTCCTGCAGGCCACAGCAGGCTCCCAGGCTCCCTGACCCCACACCACATGGCGGTGTGCTCCTAAGTCATGTTTGGTGAGAGAAAAATGAAGGAACAACTGGGCCCTCGATGGTAGCACAGGATGAACACACACCTCCTGTAGCCATCACTGCACTGATCACTGCGTTCACACAAATACACCAGAAACAGGCACAGGATATTTAAATCATGGACTAAGAAATTGTCCGTACTTGGGCTGGGAAGGTGGCTCAGTGGTAGAGCGCTTGTCTTGCATTCTGCATGCATGAGGCCCTGGGTTTGATTCCTCAGCACCACATAAGCAAAAAGAAAAAAGCCAGAAGTGGCGCTGTGGCTCAAGTGGTAGAGCGCTAGCCTTGAACTGAAGAGCTGAGGGACAGCGCCCAGGCCCAGAGTTCAGGTCCCACAACCAGACCCCCCCCCAAAAAAAAAGAAAAGAAATTGTCTGTACTTGCATACTACATGCTAAAAATGGAGTGTTTCCAACAAAATTCATCCACTCCACAAATATTTATCAAGCACTTACTCTGGTGTAGACTTGAAGACCAGCTAATGAGAAAAAACACAGTAGAGGAGACGACAAGCATTATGCACACAATAAAATGCAGGGCAGCATGAAATTCACGGCAAGAGCGCCCACCTACATTGCAAGGAGGCTGGGAAGCTGCCCCTGAGGAAACAGCAATAAGTAACAGTAAAGCTGAAGTCTGAAGGAAACAAGATGGAGACTGAGCATCATTCCCGGCTAGAAGGAGCTGAAAGACCTGACGAAATCAGGAGAAGAAATCACAGCTAACCCACAGTTCAAGGAGAGAAGGGGAGGAGGTTGGAGAGCAGACAGAACACATGGTGCAGCCTGTAAAGCGCGCTGAGAAGCAAGAAGGGCATCTGAGTACGAGAGTCACTGGAAAGTTTGTGGAAAGAGATCTCCAAAGACCACTCGGAAGGCTGGGAGGTACCAGGGCGCAGCTGGAAAGTTTGTGGAAAGAGATCTCCAAAGACCACTCGGAAGGCTGGGAGGTACCAGGGCGCAGCAGGCCAGGGGCCAGCAAAGTTTCTGCAGCAGTGTGGGCACAGGGCGCTGTGGCCAGACAGCGGGAAGGCTGAAGTACCCCACCCATACTGAGATGGGGGACACTGCCAGGAGGAGGAAGAGCAGTCTCCAACGGGGACACTGAGGAGGCAGCTCTGGTGTGGAGCTCAATGGGATGGCTGGTAAAAGTGATGGGTGCCAGTGGCTCATGGCTGTAATCCTAGCTACTCAGGAGGCTGAGATCTGAGGACTGCAGTTGGAGGCCAGCCAGATGAGTCCATAAGACTCTTATCTCTAATGAGTCACCAAAAAGCCAGAAGTAGAGTTGTGGCTCAAGTGGTATAGCGCTAGCCTTGAGCAAAAAAAGCTCAGGGGCCCTAGGACTGGTGCACACGCACGTGTGCGCACACACAGTCTCTCACCAAAACTAACCCTGTAACCCTAGTCTAATCATGAGCAAAACAGCAAGCAAACCCAAATTGAAGAACATCCTAGGAAACACCTCATCTGTCAATGTCAATAACAAGGAAAGTCTGGGAAACTGTCCGTTTAATGGAGCCTAAAAACATAGACAACTAGATGCAATTCAGCATCCTGGATGGGGCTGTGGAGAAGCTGAGGACATGATAGGAAAACAAAGACATCTGAATGCAGTCTGGAGCTCAGCATATAATAATACACCAATATTGGTTCCTTGGCGGCAGGAAGTGAACCACAGGAAGTAGCCAGAGAACTGAGTATAAGGTCCACAAAACTGTCCCATCCTTATAGCTTCTCTGTAATTCTAACACCGCCCTAAAATTAAAAGGTTGAAGACAGGCTGCAGGACTTGACATGAACACGTGGGCGGTAGTGAGGGTGAGTACCCTTGAGGGAGACGGAGGGCAGAGGGCAGAGGCTGCTAGCTCCACTTCACATCTGTGAGTCGGCAACACTCTCAGGTCCGCCCATCCAGGCTCTGGGAGAGTGCTGGGCTGAGTCCTGGACGGATGGAAACTGTGGCAGTGGGCAGGACTGCCTAGAGGAAGAATGGACATCAACATCTGCAGGGCCATGGATGGACCCAGAACAAATCATGTTAAATGAGGTAAGCCAAGCTCAGTGCAGATCGGCACATGTTCCCTCACTGTGGAAGCTAGAACTAAAATACAACTAAACACGGTAACTTATACAGGGCTCTATTCATGTACACACAAACTGACTAAATGAGGTGCATGAAGGGGAGGAATCCAAAGGCATAACTTCTCTGCACATCTAAAGTACTGTTTATCAAAACAGAATCCAAGAAATGAAACTTTTTGTTTTGTTCTGTTCTGTTTTTTTTTTTCTTAGGGGATAAGCAAGGGGGAAAGAGTAGAGGGAAAAAGGGTGAGCAAATGCAGTCACCATATTCAGTACACGTTATGTAACTTGTGGGTAGGGATGGGAGAGGGGAAATGGGGGAAAGCAAGGGAAGGGGTGATACAGCCCAAGAAGCATTATACTCAAAACCTGCCTTGGGCTGGGAAGGTGGCTCAGTGGTAGAGTGCTTGCCTTGCATGCATGAGGCCCTGGGTTCTATTCTTCAGCACCACATACGCAGAAAAAACAGGGAGTGGCATTGTGGCTCAAGTGGTAGGGCGCTAGCCTTGAGCTGAAGAGCTGAGGGACAGAGCCCAGACCCAGAGTTCAGGCCCCACGACGAAAAAACAAACAAAAACCTGTCTTATGCAACTGTAACCCCTTTTATAACTCCTTAAAATAACAATTTAAAAAAAAAAGAATAGACATCAGAAAAAAAAGGTGCAGACTTTGAATTGTAAGAGGAACAAGTTGTGGGAGCCAACGCCCATGGACCACAGTGACTACATTTAGAACCCTGTATTATTTCTTTGAAATTTATCACAAGAACAGCTCTCAAGTCATCACCTGGCCAAGCACACACGTAAGTGTGCTGAAACACATATTCAGACTATACAAGATTTAATTATGCCGTAGCCCTGCCCTGGCTCTCGGCTTCAGCCCTTCTAAGACTGTATAATCTCCAGCTCCTCACTTTCTAGTTCCCACTACAAACAGTTCTTCATGTCCAAATCCAAGTTTCTTTTACTTTTCTTTTTTTTTTTTTTTTTTTTTTTGGGGGGGGGGGTCCAGTTGTGAGGCCTGAACTCTGGGCCTGGGCGCTGTCCCTCAGCTCTTCAGCTCCAGGCTAGCGCTCTACCACTCACTTGAGCCACGCTCTACCACTCACTTGAGCCACGGTGCCACTTCCGGCTTTTTCTTTTTGCTTATGTGGTGCTGAGGAATTGAACCCAGGGCCTCAGGCATGCAAGGCAAGCGCTCTACCCCTGAGCCACCTTCCCAGCCCTTCTTTTACTTTTCTACCTGACTTCATATCCAATACAAAATGGCATTACGTTCCACAAGATGACTGATGCCATCCCACACTCAACCAATCCCCACGACCTCGTTTTTCCAAGCCCATCTGCCAAGCCATTCGGCTACTTCCAGCTCCACCACCCACCCAGGGGCCACCATGAGCGTTGCCTGGATTCCTGCAAATGCACACTCAGCGGTATCTCCACTGCCATTCTTGCCTCTAATCCAATTACCACTAAACACCCCACTGGATGGTAAAAGAAAGAAAAAGGGGGGAGGGGAAGAAAAGCATTGCAATTGAATTTATAGCTGTCTGATTTAGGGAACATCACCGGCATCTCAGTTCCCAGGGTGGCCTGAGGCTGAGAGCAGGCCTGGCTCCAGCCACAGTCTCTTCCGCCACTACTTGCCTCACCATACCTGTCTCTCACTCTTCCTCATGGTAAGGCCTTCCCAGAAGCTTCCTGCCTAGATCCATGGTCTCTAATAATGGTCTCACAGAGATAACTTACCACCGTCGTGCACATCACAAAGCATTACTTTCTAAGAGAACATTTCCTGAGAGCCTCCTATCTGGGTGCAACCTGGAATTTCCTTAATTAGATGTTTGCTCATATGATTACTTGCTCAGTGGCTATCTCACATTGAAGACAACTGTGTTTCTTGATCATTTATACACATATCCCAGGAACCAGAAGAGTGCCTGGCAAAAAGAACCTCAAACTAACCAACAGACTGGCTGATGCTCTCATCAGATCTTAAGCCCTGCAAAGGCAAGTGTATCCATTTTGTCCACTCAGATATCTAGTCTTGCATAAAAGAAAACATTTAATGACACATACTTAAACAAATGTTAAACTAATGTAAAGGCGTAGGGGTAATCAACCTCATCTTATTGGCCAGTGAAGAAAAAGATGGTATCACAGTGCTAACTTGCAGGTTTTTCTACAGCCTAACAATCAACTCCTGCACCCTCACAAGGGTCCCCAGCATAGGGCTCCTGCGGTATATGCACAACCTCTTTGGCCTCCACAAATGATGGTGACTCCTCACACTACTCCTTCCAGCACCCTACTGGATGCTCTGGTAGTAAGGTCCTCTAATGGCTACCTCCCCAGGAAGAGCTTTTCTCTAGAACCCTCCCACAGTTGCTTCTGGCAAGATCCAAGGGTCCATTTCCACTCAACTTTCACCAGCATGACATCTAGGTCCATTTCCACTTGAGTTCTACATCTAGGATGTCATGCAGCATATGAAAACACACACACACACACACACACACACACAGAGAAAGAGAACTACAAAACTGCTGGCATTCTGACTGACAAATTGAACATACAAATGAACTTGGGGAAAATCAACAGCTTACAATATGGAGTCCTTTGCTCAGTGAACAAGGCATGTCACCTAACTTGTTTCTATCTATTTGTTGCTTTAGTAAAGAGGCTCTGGACCACTTTAGTTTTTTTCTGAAAAAAACACGATTTATTATATTACAAACTGTTTTATGACATTTCTTGTTTGCTCTTAGTATATAAAATTACAATTGTGTCTCAAGTTACCTTGACTCTTTGCATATTAAAAAGAGGTATTATTGATGTTTCTATGTATGCAATCATATCATCTATAAAATCACAGAATTTTCTTTTCCTCAGAACCTTGTACTCATTTTTCCTGACTTACTGAGCCAGGTAAAACATCCAGTGAAATAGTAGACAGAGTAGCAATGGGAAAAATAACATATCTTTTCCAGCCTGAAGAAAATTTCCCTCATTTTCACCATTAGCCACAATTCCTAGCATAGACTTCTAAGTAACCAAATTCAGGTAACTTCCTTATCAAATTAAGGATGTTACCTTTTATTTATAATGAGTACATGAGATTTCATCTTGAATAAGTGCTAGATTTTACCAAAGGCAATTTTCACAACTATTGATAACACATTTTCTGCTTTATTCTAGTAATTTAGTGGTTTATAATGATCAATTTTTCAAATATTGAATTTATCTTTATATTGTCTGATATTTTGGCTTTAGTCTTAAAATTTGTCAAGATATGCTTTAAAGATCAGTCATTTTGATAATGCGCTCTGAGCATACGGAAAGTGTCGAGTCTGAGGTTATTAGGTGCAGTGTCCTTATTTACACCATCTTACTTCAACTTATTCCACATCTCACTTTATTTGTTGTTTTCAATATACACTGTACCTAACCTACTGCTAAGCCACTGAGATCTCAACTAAGTCACGTTTGTTTATTGTATTACTGAGATTTTTTATGTCCTTGCTGACTGTGTTATTCTACACTTAATAAAGTTTCATTGACATAAGAAGGTGGTAATTTTGTTCTCAACTTTTAAAGGAAGTTTAATTGAGTATAGATCCCTATTGACAGTTTGGTTTCATTTGAACATTCTGAAGTATCATTCCACTGTCTTCTTTTTAAAGTGGGACTGGGATTTGAACTCAAGAGCTTCAGGTCCTCTACTATTTGAGCCATGCTTCCAACGCTTTCTCACTTCAGTTATTTTTCAGAAAAGATCTTAACTTTTTTGTTTTGTTTTTGTTGGTTGTAGGGTTTGAGCTCTGGGCCTGGGTGCTGTCCCTGAGTTTTTCAGTTCAAGGTGAGCGCTCTACCATTTGAGTCACGGCGATACTTCTGGTTTTCTGGTGGTTCATTGGAGGCAAGAGTCTCACGGACTTTCCTGCCCAGGCTTGGCTTTGAACCACAATCCTCAGATGTCAGCCTCCTGAGTAGCTAGGATTACAGGCATGATCCACCAGCGCCTGGCAATCTTAGCTTCTGTTTAGGACCCAACCTGGATCTCAATTTTCTTCCCTTCCGCCTCCCATATACCTGAGATTATAAATGTGCACCGCCGTGTCTGCCTTATTATTAAGAAGGGGGTCTCCAGAACATTTTTTGCAGAGGCTAGCCTTGAACCATGACCTTCCCATCTCCTCCTCTCACATCTCTGAGATTATCTATTGTCTTTTTTTTTTTTTTTTTTTGGTTGGTCATGGGACTTGAACTCTTGGCCTGGGCATTGTTCCTGCACTCTTCAGCTCAAGGCGAGCACTCTACCACTTGAGCCACAGCGCCACTTCTGGTTTTCTAATGGTTTATTGAAGAGTCCTGCCCAGGCTGGCTTTGAACCATGATCCTCAGATCTCAGCCTCCTGAGTAGCTAGGATTATAAGCATGAGCCACTGGCACCTTGCTTATCTATTGTCTTATAAACACTTAACTCCATTTCCTTGGCACAAATTTGTTTTAAAGTTTGCCTATCTGTTCTACTAGCTCTCACCAGGAAAGAGGTCCCAAATGTTTAGCCTACCATTAACATTCTTTATGTCTTCTGTTATACTTTTTGTGATTTTCTTCTCTCATTTCATCAAATATTTGGAGAAGTACATACAAATAACGCCATCTTCTTGACTAGCAATCTCCACTTAGTCATTTTATGGGTAGATCTGTTGTATATTAAGGACAATATATATCGTATGAGAAAGGACTGGGGTTATACCTCAAATGGTAGAAAACATTTGTCTGGTGTGTATGAATGAGGCACAGTAACACCAAAATGGAGGGAGGTATAAACATAGAACCACTGTCTTTTTTTTTTTTTTTTTTTTTTTTGGGGGGGGGGGTCAGTTGTGGGGCTTGAACTCTGGGGCTGGTACTATCCTTGAGCTCTTCAGCTCAAGGCTAGCGCTCTACCACTTGAGCCACAGCACCACTTCCGGCTTTTCAGTTTATGTGGTGCTAAGGAATCGAACTCAGGGCCTCATGCATGCAAGGTAAGCACTCTACCACTGAGCCACCTTCCCAGCCCCAGAACCACTGTCTTATACACAGCAAATACATTTCTCAGCTGTCATTTGCATTCTAATTGTATAGTGTTTCTAGCACACCCACAAGCTAAACTTCTAGCATGTCAGTCAAATCTGTCAACTTTTCTGATTCTAGTGTCTTGATTAGAATAGCTTTTATCATCTGAGATCTTTGTAAAAACAGACCTATATTTTCTTCTAGTATTTCTATTTCTGGCTTTTACATTTCATTTTTATATTGATTTTGCTATAAGGTAGGGGACTCATTTTTTTAAAGTGGTAAGCCTAATAAAGTGTCTTATTTCCCCTATTTGCTCTTCCAAATAGTATAGTAGATCAAAAAATTTAAGTGATCATCATCTATAACTCATCACTGCTGCTCACCACGGATCATTCTCCCATTCTGTGCCCTTCTTTGGTTTTGTAATAGGAGTTCCGAGGCTGTTTTTGATTAAACACAGACTCTTCCCCGGGACTGACATTAGCAACAGGACTCATTTTGCATCTGTCTTCCTTAAACCTTGGGTCAGATTCCTGCTCAACTCTGCACAGGTTAATCATTTAAGAAGTGTTCCTCTAAAGCTGGCAATCTTCCCCTTCAAGGCTGAAGGCATCAAAGATAAGTGACTAAGGCGGTTTCAAGGTGTCCAGGGGGCAATGATAATCAACGTAATGTTAAGCCCCAGTTTACAGCTTCCTATTTCTGACCACTGACTGGAAGGACACCTTACAAGTCTCCAGTCATTGCCCCAAACCTGAATGCCCCAAACCTAACGCCATCTTGAGTTTCTGACTCTTTTCTCTGAGTTATTCTTTCCCGGCAACCTTGAACTGTGGGAACTATAGGTGTAGATATCTTGGTGGGTTGAAACTATCTCCAGGCAGCAGCGCTTCCATCCGTCCTCTTCAGGGTCACCCTGGAGACAAGGCCCAACCAAAACCACTGTAAGACCCTGACTGCTGATCCACATGCTCTTGTCCCTACTTTCGTTCCTTCCCAACTTATATCAGAAGCTTCTGTAAGTACCCTGAAGACAACCCTGAGGATGAGTCTGCACACTGGGTAAATTCCTTTCCTGATTTGCACCATTCTGTTTCTTTTGACTTTAAGGGTATGGATCAAATCAGATCTTTTGGGACTCCCCATGCCAGGCTTTGCTGTGACTAGGGTTCCAGTTAGCCATGTACGTAACTCGCCCAGTTCTCATCTTCACCGGTTCCTCCTTACCATACCTCCTTTACAAGCAGCATTCCCTTCCTCCTCACCCCACACTCCTTTCCTGTTCTAGATCCTGCTATATTTCTAGAACCTTTCTTTTCTCATTCTTCCTGCTCTCCTAGGTCACCCTTAACCTCCTCCTCCCTCGTTTCTAGCCTCCAGTTTCACTTCTAGAACCTTTCTTTTCTCATTCTTCCTACTGTCTCGGCCTCCTCAAGCTCTCCCCTGCAATCTCAGACCTTTATCCAGCTGCTCCTGGGATCTCTACCTAGACAAGACAAGGGTCCCAAACTCAACTAGACCATATATAAACCATCACTCCTGAAATCTGCTCTTCCTTGTAAATTTTATTCTCCATCATACTACTAATCATGCCAGCCAGATTCAGTAATTGTTCCTCTCTTTTGCCAAGAAAAGGATCCAGAGGACTAAACCACTATGGCATAAAAATTATTTTAGGCTGAAAGTATTTGAGTCCTAAAATCTTTTATCTGCCTAAATGCGGAGTTTCCCAAAAGAACTCCAACTCAATTGTCATAAATCTCTTCTCCACAAACAACGTAAATCTTACAGATGAGAAAACATCCAAACAGACCTGCCTACCTTCTACCTATTACAATGGAATAGAATCCTTTTCTCTGTAAATGACCCGAAAATAGGTATATGCAAGACCAGAATCTGTATTTTCTCTTGCTAATTTGTCTTTTGTCAATGTAGAGGTCACATTAAGTCCTATAAGTTCTAGCTCCCAAGTCAGACCCTTCTATACTGACACTGCCTAAAAACGGCAGTTTTTGGTTGTTTCTTGTTTTTGAGACAGGGTGCCTCTATGCACCACTGACTTGGACTGGAATGTGCTCTATAGCAAAAGCTCAACGTCGTGAACCTCCTGTGTCCGTCTCTGGAGCGCATGAACCACCATGCCTGGCTTAAAAACAGGTCATAATTAATATCTCTTATTTGAATTCTTCACCTAATTCCCAGCTTTTCTCCAAGCTGTGTAAACATACTGTCCACAGAGTAACCATGTAAAGTCTGATCACAAACTTTCAGCCAATGCCTAAGACCTGATGAGATAAGATGTAAACCCAGCAAGGCAAGGCCTTGCTTCTCATCTGCGTGTGTGTGTGTGTGTGTCTGTCTGTCTGTCTATCTGTCTGTCTGAGCCACTACTTCTATTCCTTTGTGCATAAACAGCATCTTCAGCCTAGAGTTTTCTTGCTGATCCTGTCTAGCAAACACCTAATTATGTTAGAAGTACAGCTTTAGTGTCTTATTTTTTAAATATCCACATTTATATGCTCAAGCAGACTTCACTAGTGTCTCCTTTGTGCCTCAAATTCATCTTGTACATACATGCTCTAAAATTCCATTTTACCCCTTAGCATACCATAATGCAATTAAGCTTTATATCTATCTTCCCTGCAACACCACGGATACCTTTACATACTTCTAAAGAGCAGGCTTACCTCAGGGCTAGTGGTACCACTGAGGATCTCCTGACAGGCTCCTCTGAATCTTCTTTTTGCTTGTATTTTCACCTTCAGTGTCCATCCTAGCAGGGCTGCATAGCCCAGGTCTGGCAGGTACCTTATCACTATGCTTCACCATAACCCCTCCCACACATGGGTATCTGCTGTCTGATCAGCCGCGCCCCCCCACCCCAATTATGCTGGCCTTCCTTTAGCAAGAATCACACAAGGTCAGTTTAGTCAAAGAACACCCCTCAGAAAGGAAAGAAGAAAAACTTAGGAAAACGGAATGGCAGGGACAACAATGCATCTCTCTATACTTTCTCTTAATATAAATGGGCTGAATTCGCCAATTAAAAGAAAACGAACTGAGGACTGGATCAGAAAACAAGACCCATCCATCTGTTGCCTTCAGGAGACCCACCTCTCAGCCAAACATACAAACAAACTCAGAGTGAAGGGGTGGAAAAGGATCTACCAATCAAATTCCCCCAATAAGAAAGCAGGTGTAGCTATCCTGATATCTGACAAAATAAACTTTTCATTAAAATCAGTACAGAAAGACAAGGACGGACACTACATATTAATAAAGGGAACAATCCAAGAGGAGGATATAACCATCATCAACTTGTATGCCCCAAATATTGGTGCACCCAGATATGTTAAACAAATGCTCTCAAACTTACAGAATAAAATAGATCCCAATACGATAATACTAGGAGACTTTAACACGCCACTCTCACCAAAGGACAGGTCTACCAACCAGAGGATTGGCAAAGAAGCTACCGAATTAAGTGAGGCCATACTTCAAGCGGAATTAACTGACATCTACCGAGTATTTCACCCTAAAACAACACAGTACACATTCTTCTCAGCAGCTCATGGAACTTTCTCCAAAATAGACCATATCATAGTTCATTCAAGGAACTTAAGCAAATACAAAGGGATCGACATAATCCCCTGTATCCTATCTGACCACAGTGGAATCAAGCTAGCTCTCAATAACAAAGCATACCGCAGAAATTTCTCTAATACATGGAAATTGAACAGCACACTCCTTAACAAGGCCTGGGTAACAGAAGAGATCAGAGAAGAAATAAAGCATTTCCTAGAACTCAATGAAAATGAAAACACCTCACAAAGAAACTTGTGGGACACAGCAAAAGCAGTCCTGAGGGGCAAATTTATTCCCCTCAGTGCCCACATCAAGAGAATGGAGACAGACCAAGTAAATAATCTCATGTTGCAACTAAAACAGCTAGAAAAACAAGAAAAAATGGGACCTAAAGCTACTAGACGAAGCCAGATAACCAAATTGAGAGCAGAGATTAACCAATTAGAAAATCAGAAAACCATAACCAAAATAAACCAAACAAAAAGCTGGTTCTTTGAAAAAATAAACAAAATTGATGGCCCGTTGGCAAGATTAATTAAAAAAAGAAGAGAGGAAACCCATATTAATAGGATTAGGGATGCCACGGGAAACATCACAACACGTACCCAAGATATCCAAACAATTCTAACAGACTACTTTCAAAAGCTATACTCTCTAAAGGAAGAAAATCTGGCGGAAATGGATGCATTTTTAGAGAAATACAAGTTACCCAAACTGAGCAAAGAAGAAGTTAACCAATTAAATAAGCCAATATCCTATAATGAGATACAGGAAGCTATCAAAAGTCTTCCAACAAAAAAAAGCCCAGGACCAGATGGATTCACAGCAGAATTCTATAAGACCTTTAAAGAAGAACTAATACCCATACTCCTCAAGCTCTTCAGAGAAACAGAGAAGGAGGGAGCTATCCCAAACTCATTCTACGAAGCCAATATCACACTCATCCCCAAACCAGGCAAAGACCCAACCAAAAAGGAGAATTACAGGCCAATCTCCTTGATGAACACAGATGCAAAGATCCTTAACAAGATTCTAGCTAACAGAATCCAGAAACACATAAAAAAAATAATACACTATGATCAGGTAGGCTTCATCCCAGAGACACAGGGATGGTTTAACATACGTAAGTCAATAAATGTAATCCAGCATATCAACAGAGCCAAGGTCAAGAATCACATGATTATCGCCACAGATGCAGAAAAGGCCTTTGATAAAATTCAACATTCATTCATGCTAAAAGCTCTGGAGAAAATAGGAATAGAAGGAACATTTCTAAAAACAATAAAAGCCATTTATGACAGACCAATAGCCAATATTATACTTAATGGGGAAAAGCTACAACCAATCCTCCTAAAAACAGGAACAAGGCAAGGATGTCCACTGTCTCCACTCCTCTTCAACATAGTCCTAGAACCCTTAGCCAGGGCAATAAGGCAAGAAAAAGACATTAAAGGGATCCGCATAGGGAAAGAAGAAGTGAAACTATCCCTTTTTGCAGACGACATGATACTATACCTCCACGATCCCAAAAACTCCATCCCCAAACTTTTAGAAATCATAAGTCACTTCGGCAAAATAGCAGGATACAAAATAAACCCACAAAAATCAGTTGCCTTCCTATACACTGATAACGCACAGGAAGAGAGGGAAATAAAGGGAGCAACCCCATTCACAATAACCTCCCAAAAAATAAAATATTTAGGAATTAACCTAACCAAAGATGTAAAAGAACTATTTAATGAGAACTATAAAAAGTTAAAGAAAGAAATTGCAGAAGACACTAGGAAATGGAAAGACCTCCCATGCTCCTGGATAGGCCGACTTAATATAGTAAAGATGGTGATACTTCCAAAACTAATATACAAATTCAATGCAATTCCTATTAAAATCCCAATGACGTACATCACTGAAATACAGAAAACAGTCCAAAAATTTATATGGAACAACAAAAGACCTAGAATAGCCAAAACAATTCTAGGGGATAAAGACAATATGGGAGGGCTATCCATGCCGAACTTCAAACTCTACTACAGAGCTATAATCACAAAGACAGCATGGTACTGGCACAAAAACAGACCCGAAGACCAATGGAACAGAATAGAAGATCCAGATATAAATCCACAGGCCTACAGCCAGCTGATATTCGACAAAGGAGCCAAAGACATACAATGGAAGAAACACAGCCTCTTCAACCGCTGGTGCTGGGAAAACTGGGCAGCCACATGCAGAAAACTAAAAGTGGACCCCAGCCTATCACCATGCACCAACATCAACTCAAAATGGATTAAAGACCTTAACATTAAACCTGAATCTCTGAAACTACTGCAGGACAGAGTAGGAGAGACACTTGAACTAATAGGCACAGGAAGGAACTTCCTGAACAGAGTCCCAGGGTCACAACAAGTTGGAGAGAGACTCGACAAATGGGACTACCTTAAAATAAAAAGCTTCTGCACAGCTAAATCTATCGCAACTAAGCTAGAAAGACAACCAACTAATTGGGAAAAAATATTTACCAGCAATATATCAGACAAGGGGTTAACATCCTGTATATACAGGGAACTCAAGAAACTAATCCCTCCCAAACCTA